TGCAGAGATAATATTAGGCTTTTCCAACATCTTACTCAAAAAACAGTTCGGGAATTGTATAATAAATGGGGAGGGATCCCTCGGTATGTCTTATTTCATGCTCTCGATTCTATCCAGCAAAGTCTTCTGAAGAACGCAATTAATTTAGTCGATTATAAGATATTGAATTTTGTTGGTGAAATCACCGATGGCAACAATGGCAGTAGCACAACTCACCAACTCGTTCACATATGTACAAACGTACCAGAAGGAGAGGAAGATGAGGAGGTTGAGTTTGGATTACCTTCTACGTCAACGGTTCCTACAGTAACTAAACCAGATAAAAGGAAAGGTGTTGCAGGGAGATATTATGAAGGGGTACCATTTTATAAAAAGTGTACTCTGGAGTTTGCGTCCGATTATGTTTCTGAAAAGGTAGTGGATAGACTCTCACGAAATTACAAACATGACTTGCAGAATTTCGTGAATACAAGTGAGGATATAAGCGAATACAGTACACTTCGAGGTATCATATTCGAGCGACTCGCTCATCAAAGGTTGCTACGTGGAAGAAAATTTAATATTCGTCCTTTATTTTAAGATTCCAAACGAGGCATACGCTTCAACTGGATAATAAATAATATGGGCAAATTAACGTTCAATGATATTAAAGAGATCGCTTCTAAAATGTATTGTATACCAAATCAAAAGAATAACGCGTCCTTTGATGCAATTGTTCCCCCAACATGTTCTTCCAGATGACTTGTCAAGAGCCATCCGATCATCAAGAGTGGTTTGGAAGAATATATTGAAAAAATTGATCAAGACGATGATATCAAATTTTATTTTGTCATGCCAAAGGAAATATATCATACTTATAAAGAGCAGGTTCTTTACACTACAAAGAGAACTGTTGTCAAGAACAAACCGGCTTGGTTTAATCGCTTCAAACAATATGCACTAGAACTTAACCTGAAATTGTAGTTTTTGTTTAAAAAGTTTAGTTTATGTTTTCACATAGATCTTGAATTGAGTTTATCTTTTTATCACATTTCGAGCTTGTAGTTTTTAACTATATGTATGCATGTATGTGGCGTGGAAAAAATATTTAGAGTAGCAATGAAGGTGTGACAAAAGGAAAGTTTGTGTTGGTATCGTTATTATAAAGCATACGAAAGTCAGTGATAGTATCAACAGCCTTAAGCCAAGATGACATTGATCTTGTAATTGTAAAATGTTTGAAGTGAATTACTGCACCAGTGACATCGATGTCACGTTGGGGTATTTCAAATACTAATTAGGCAAAATGATATAAGATTCAATAATAATACTATTGCGGTTAGATTTCGGCAAGATTGATATACATATCTTTACTAATAAATTATTATAAAAAGTGTTTTTGAAATCGGTCTAATTTATGTGCAAATCACGCACGATATAAATAAAAGAAGTTACAGTTTAAAAACTTTAGTGAATTTATTATTTTTTATTATTCCATTAATAGAAAATTTTTCTTTTGTTTCGCTATATATACTTTAACTAAAAAAAAAGTATTTATTATGAATTGGCATTGATAATCAAAAATCAAAAACTGTAATTGTGTAGAAGTTTTTCATCATATTAATTGTAAAGTTTCGTTAAAAGTTATTATTATAGTTTTAACGTTAAACCATTTTAAAAATAATTTTTATAACTATTAAATATTTTAACTAAAAAAATCATATGTATTTGTTATAAATTGATTTTAATAATTGCAATGTAGATTTTATTATTAAATGTTCTAACTAAAAAAAACATGTTTGTTTTTGTTAATAAAAATATAAAATGTAATGGTGGTTAGAGCCCTAGCCTAGGCTATCCCAATCCAGTACAGAGCATAATTGGTTTGAAAAACAATCAGCTGCAGGAAGATGTAATCTGAGATCTAGGTGATAAGGTGAAGAGGTACTTGAACTAATCCCCTTAATCAAGTTACCTTGGAACAAGGCTGGACCATATAAATTAGATAGTTTAAAAACTAGTGGTAGGATTTCTATATTCTATAGGTTTCCATCTAGTATTACAAAGGAAATTGTTCAAGGTGATAGGTTTTTGGATATTGGAAGTAAGGTGGAATATAAGGAATAATCTTAATAGAGTATATAATATAATGTTCTTTTTGCAACTATAATTTGATATAAGGTATTTATCTATAAAAACCTTGTAGTATCATACTTTTACTTTAAATAATAATAATAATAATAATAATAATAATAATAATAATAAAATATATAAATATAAAATGTATCAAAAGTAGTGGAAATAACATAATTATGTTATTTCCACTTAGTCTAGGTTATTCCCACTTAGGGATGTGTCATGATAACAGAAATATGATACCATTATTAGTGTTGTAATGACAGAAACATAATACTATCATCAGTGTCATAATATATATTTTATAACACATTTTTAATAACAAAAATCTAATATTATCATTAGTGTCGTAATATATATTTTATGATACATTTTCAACAACAAAATATAATACTATTGTCAGTGTCATTTGATTTCCATTGCTGAGCCATATGAGTAAAAAATATTTGACAATATATTCAATCGCATGTTGTCATTTGCAGGCTTGAACTGAGTATATAGTGCCTTTAACTTTCTGATTAATTCCTTGATAAGGGCCAAGTTCGAAGCATATAGTGCCGAAATAATATTCATATTCTAGCTTTGTATAATACACTCAAATATCAATTGAGAATTAGACACATAGTATCAAATTGTTGGCAGTTGTTAGCTTCATATAATTCATTCGAATATCATTTGATAATAAGGCATGTAGTGCCAAATTGCTATCCTTACTTGGTGTCCCATCAAAGTATAATTTTATTATATATATATCTATAATAATTATATCTTGGTGTCCCACTTTTTTTATTCAAAATAATACTCATTTGGTGTTCCATCAAAGCATAATTATATATATCTTCTATTTGTAATAATTATTTTTTGGTGGCTCACTAATTTTTTAAAATACTATTTCTATTGGCACAATTTTATATATTATACAGTGATACTCAAAATTTTTTGAAAAAATTTTTTAAAAAAATAAAAATTGTATTATTATTTAATAAATATAAATTTAAAAAATATAAAAAAATAAAATATAAATCTTTTAGTATTAATAAATAATTTTAATTAGTAATATTTTTATAT